TAGAAACGAGGGGAGCCCCGGTAGTTCAGAAAGTACGTCGCCTGTCCCCTGAAAAGATGGAAATCGCTAAAAAGGAGTTCGAGTATTTGTTGGAAAGCGGAATTTGTCAACGCTCGAAGAGCCAATGGTCTAGTCCGTTGCACATGGTGCAGAAATCTAACGGCTCCTGGCGCCCATGCGGCAATTACCGACGATTGAATGCAAAGACAATTCCAGACAACTATCCCGTGCGTCATATTCAGGACTTTGGAGGCGACCTACATGGTAAGACAATTTTTTCTGTGGTCGATTGTAGGAAAGCGTACCATCAGATTCCGGTGCATCCAGCTGATGTTCCAAAGACTGACATACTAACCCCTTTCGGGCTTTTTGAGTTTTAGTATATGACGTTTGGCCTCAGAAACGCCGCCCAAACGTTTCAACGATTTATCTGAAACGGTCAAGGGACTACCGTTTGTGTTCCCATATCTCGACGACGTACTCATAGCATCCACGTCAGAGGCAGAGCATGTTGAGCACCTGGAACAACTCTTTAGACGTTGTCGTGAGAGAGGTTTAGTTATCAACGAAGAAAAATGCCAACTAGGCCAGAGCGAGGTGGAATTTTTAGGCCACTTGGTGTCGTCTAAAGGCATCAGACCACTCACTCACTCACTCACAAGGTAAAGGGTATACTGGAGTGCAAGAAACCGAAAGTGGTTCACGAACTAAGGCGGTTTTTGGGGACCATACATTTTTATAGGCGTTTTCTACCGCATGCGGCCGCAACGGAAGCGCCACTGCAGAGATTGATGGGTGCTTGTAAGAAGCGGGATCAGACATCAATCAGCTGGACGCCTGAAGCTACCGAAGCTTTCCAAAAGCTCAAGGAACAATTAGCGAATGCAGCACTCATTGCATTCCCTTTGCGAGGTGCCACGATTGCCCTGATGACTGACGCATCAGACAATGCAGTCGGTGCTGTTCTACAGCAGCGGGTTGACAACGGGTGGGCACCGTTGGGATTTTACTGACAAAAGTGTACTTCAACTGAACAGCGATGTAGTGCGTATGATCGCGAATTGCTAGCGATCTACAAAGCGATCCGACATTTCCGTTACTTTCTGGAAGGAACGAATTTTATTATCTTTACAGACCACAAACCGCTTATGCACGCCTTCAACCAGAAGTGGGAAAAGCTTTCACCACGACAAACTCGGCAATTGAACTACATCAGTCAGTTTTCATCTGACATCAGACATATTAGTGGTGCTGACAATCATGTAGCTAACATGTTATCACGGACTGAAACATTCGCTCTGCCATCGCCGATAGACATGCAGCATTTACACGACGAACAAAGCAACAGCGATGAATTGAAGGAGTTGCTCAACGGTGGGCCTACTTCGCTTCACTTGGTACAGTATCACCACCCCGATACGGGCATTAACATAGTCTGCGATGAGTCAATCGGCACTCTTCGCCCATACGTCCCAGAATCCTTACGACAGGTAGTATTCAACGCCAACCACGGGTTAGCACACCCGGGTGCGAAAGCAACCATTAAACTAATTTCCAGAAATTTCGTTTGGAAGAGAATGAGCAGCGATTTGCGGGCACGGGTACGCAGCTGTCCAGCATGTCAGCGTTGTAAAGTCGCATGTCACACAAAAGGGGAACTCGAGACATTCGCGGTCCCAGGCAAAGTTTCGAGCACATCAACGTGGACATAGTCGGACTCTTCGCGACTTCGAGGGGATTCACCTACTGTTTAACTTGTGTCGATAGGTTCTCCAGATGGATAGAGGTGATTCCGATGTCAGACATGACAGCTGAGACCGTCGCTAGAGAGTTAATTAGAGGGTGGACAAGTAGGTTCGGTACACCCAAGTACATCACCACGGATCAGAGCCGACAATTTGAGAGCGCCTTATTCACGCAACTAGCGAAGCTGCTCGACGTAAGACATATTCACACCACCAGCTATCATCCGCAAGCGAACGGGTTGGTGGAAAGGTGGAATCGAGTTTTGAAAGCCGCACTCAGGTGCCACTCAGCCGACACCAACTGGGTGGATGTTCTCCCGATTGTCCTACTCGGACTAAGAATGGCTGTGAAGGAGGACTTAGGCGCGTCGGTAGCTGAAAGGCTCTATGGTCAGCCGATTCGGCTTCCTAGTGATTTGTTGGACACCTCAGAAAGCACACCTGCGGACGAGCAAAGTTTCTTACGAGATCTACGACAGCACTTCGAAAATGTGAAACCGACGCAAACTTCGCAGCACGGTAAACATGCAGTTATTGTACCCAAAGATCTACGTTTTTGCAGTCACGTTTTCTTACGAGATGACACCATTCGCAAACCGCTGAAGGTACCGTATGAAGGTCCATATACTGTCGTTAATTAATACCCGAAAACATACATCATACTAATCGGGTCGAAACCAGTCATGGTATCCATAGACCGGTTCAAGCCGGCTTACTTTCCAAGAGACGAGCTAGCAGCTAACCCCGCCAACCTACGGCATGGCACGCAATGCCATTTTCCCGGCGCTCCTTCTGGAAAGGGGGTGGTGTAGGGATCTGACCTAACACTTATAGACGAATATATTATGGGTGGCAACACTAATACTTTTTAGCTTCTAACTGCAACCAACTTCACATTGATATAGAGACAAGATACTGACGCGATTGATTTAATTCTTGAATTGTAGTACTTAATTATTATCAAGAATCCCGAGTCAATCAAATGTACACTCGTCTTTTTAAAGTTACTGCGGGGTTTTTTATTAAAATTCAATATCGAAAAATGTCTTATGTCCAATCGACTGTCCTCGTTCGCGGTTCGTTGCAACTCACTCGTCTCATTCTTGTTCGTTTCTCTTGTATGTGTTGTGTGTTATTGTCTGTCAGGGTCGCATTATAAAGTATTCAAAGTAATGCTTTACAGAAAAAGGTATTCTTCAAAAATATCATTTGACAGTTCGGCCTATCCTACTATGACATCGCCTCGATGTCATCTGCGGTATCATCTCCCTCCATAATATCGTCGTCATCTAGGGTGGGCAGTAGTGCACACCAAGGTTTCATTCGTTCAGATGTATAAATAGAACTGGACCGTTTCTGTTTACGCTGCATTCCGTCGATGTCTTCGATCAGATATCGATCTTTCCCAATCACCTTGGTGACAACATATGGACCACGATATCGTGCATCCAACTTACGCGATTCTCCAGTGGATTGTAGCTCATTTAAGACAACCACCAGGTCATCCACCTTGTACTGAGTGGGAGGTTTGTGTTTGGCGTCGAATCTCTGCTTCCACTTTTCTCGCTGCTGCTGCAATTTAGTAAGAGCTTCTACCCTTCTATCTGCCATAGGGAGTGTATCACGATCGTCAATGACCGCTGCCAAAAGCTTGTTTCGTATTACGTCTCGAATTTTAAAATCAAATATTAGATCATTGGGACTAAACCCTGTGCTCGCATTCACTTGAGCATTTACGCTGCATTGTAATTTTTGGAAATAATCGTCCCACTCTTTAGCATGTGTACCAGAAGTTCGCAGAAAATTCAAGATAGTTCGGTTGGCCCTCTCGACTTGCCCATTTGACCGAGGGGTTCTCACAGCCGTTTTGATGTGTCGAATATCATGGTCATCACAGAAGTTCTCGAACTGCTTGGATGTGTACGCTGTACCACGGTCGCTTACAATTCTCGCTGGTAACCCAAAATAGGAGCTAAGCTCAGTCAGAATCTGCAATACAGGTTGCGTCTTCGTGTTTCTTACTGGCTTCACTATTAAATACTTAGTAAATGCGTCGCTTATAGCAACAACGTACGTATAGCCCCGTTTGCTTTTTACAAAGGGTCCCAGATGGTCGACATGGAGCGTATAAAAGGGAATAGGTGTAACCGGATCAACATATAACGTGCCTTCCGGCTTGCCTCCAACAGCTTTATTATAACAGCACTCGACACAAGCAGATATGTAATCTTTAACATACTTTCGGATGCGAGGGAACCAGAAGTGTTGTTTCACGCGTTGAATCGTTTTCTCGAGCCCAAAATGGCCCATTTCATCATGGCAGTACATAGTGATACGCCAACGAACAGCTTTCGGGACAACGAAGAGCAGCTTACCACCATCACGTCGATAAAGTCGGTGGTTGTCTATCTGGTACTCATTCTTCAGCTGGTTTACTTGATCAGATTTTCGCTTTCCTTGTAACACGTCGATAATTTCTCGGATTTTGGCATTTTGGAGCTGCATGGTTAGCAACCAGTCTTCAGTTTGCAACGCGATATGCATTACATTTTCAGCAACTATTTCATTAGTTATAGGCATATGTATATGTAATACTTCTATATTGATAGAAAGCTAACATCTCAATGTGTAAGCATTCCGAAATCAAAGCGAGACAGTCTAGTACTGTTTTTGGCAATGTATTGTGTACTTGAGTGCCGGTTTTGTAAATTTGTCGTGTACATGTTTATTTATAAACGTATGTGTTCCTTTTCTTTCGTACGTGTTTATTGATATGTCTGTACTGTAGTGTTTTCGGACGGTACTAGCTCTTACTGCCAATATAGGAGTATTACATATATGGTTATAGGTGCTCGGCTCAGTGCATCCACATGACTCATACGTACGCCGGGTCTGTGAACACATTCGAAGTCCAATTCGCTTAAACGCATCCACCAACGAGCAATGCGTGGAATGAGTTCATTCTTTGTTTTTACGCTACTTATAGCTGCACAGTCGGTTACGACTCTAAAAGGTTTGCCTAGCAGGTATACAAGGCTTCAACTACCGCCATAACCTCCAGCTCGTAGCTGTGGTAGCGAGATTCTACCACAGTACATCGTCTACTGAAATACATCACCGCATTCCAGGTTTTCCCATCGTCATTAGACTGAAGGAACACAGCCGCTATACCAATCGAGCTTGCATCAGTATGAACTTCATGCTTTGCTTTGAAGTCATACAATACCAACACTGGCCCACTCGTCAAAGCTTGGATCAAAGAGTTAAAAGCAACCATCTCTGTATATCACCCCATGTAAAGTTATTCGCAGCATCTTTTGTCGTTAATTTGTTCAAGGGTCTAGCGGTGATCGCATAGTTCTTCACGAACTTTCTAAAAAACCCTGTGAGACCCAAGAATCGTCGTACCTCGGTCGCGTTAGTCGGTACCGGGAATTCACGGATCGCCTTCACTTTACACTCGCCGGGCGTAATACCATTAACGTTCACTTTATGACCGAGGAAGTTTATTTCTGTGGCCAAAAATTTGCACTTATCTCTCCGCAAAGCCAAATCGGCCTGTTCGAGCAAAGCTAAAAATTCGCAAAGTGTTTTTACGCCATCACTCACAGTTACACTCGGTATTATTACATCATCGAGATACGCGATCACTTTCCTTCGTTTCATTTTAATGCATAGTTCATTCATCATGGTCTGGAATACCGCCGGCGCGTTTACCAGACCAAATGGCATACGATTATATTCGTAATGACCATCATTAGTAAAGAACGCGGTGAATTGTTTACTACTCTTTTCAAATTCGATTTGATGATACCCCATGTTGAAGTCTAAGACAGTAAAATAGCGATTACCCGCGAGTATAGCAAAAAGTTCGTCCATAATTGGCATAGGGAATGGCTGCTTGACTGTAACCCGATTCAACTGTCTGTAGTCAACACACATCCTATATTCGTTATTTTTCTTCGCAACCACTACTATCGGCGAAGCATACGCAGAATTAGATACTCGAATAATATCTTTTTCTAATAAGTCATGAATCGTCTCATTTACTATAGGGCGTTTTGCAAAAGGAAACCTATACGGTTTCATATTAATGGGCTGGTCAGCCGAAAGTTTGATACACATCTTCACCGAGTTAGCTTTTCCCAACGTAGAGAAGCGTTTTTCATATTTACAAAAAATCTTGTTAAAATCGCCATATTTACCCGTATTAGGTTCAACTTCAATCGCGTTTACTGTTTTAGTGTCACTATCATGAACGTATAAATTGTCACCATCGATTATGTATTTATTTTCACCCGGGCATAGGACATCACGCCCGAGGAGAATATCATTTTCAATCAAATTGTCATCAACAACCAATAAATGTACGCAATTATCAATTTTCATGACTTGTATTTTGTCATAACACTCAAACACTCCGCCTCCAAAACCTTTGAGACGCACATAGCACTTTTCCTTCAAACATTGTTCTATGTTTGCCGCAACTGAGTTACGCACCAACGAGCGTGAACTACCTGTGTCAACAAAAGCTTCGATTTCGTTGTCATGTACCAAAACTCTTTTTACCGTAAATTTGATAGGTTCGTCTTCAATCGCGTTGCACTTTTCGGATTTTTGTTTTTGCCCTGTGCAATCTGTTATACGGTGACCAATTTCACCACACTTTCCACATTTTGGTTTCTGTTTCTTCTCACTACATTCCCGCGATATGTGGCCTGTTTTACGACAATTATAGCAAATAATGTCACCCTTTGACTTCTTTTCATTTGTCGAACGTTTGATTTTATTGTATTGCATTGTCTGCTTAACCGGCGCGCTATTCTTCGCGACATTATAAGCACAATAGTTTTTAATCGCATATAATAAATCGATACACGTAGCATACCTTGCCACTGATAGACACTTTTTCATATCCGTATCGTTTAACCCGTTTATGACATACTTTATGATCGCTTGGTCATCCACCCGACCTTGATGACCTTTAGCCAACACGCGATAATAAAACCTTTCAGAGGTTTCATTTACCCTTCGCCGCATACTCATTAGTTCGATTAGGACATCAGCTGAATTAATCACTGACGGAAAGTGATCAAGAAAATCTTTCACAAAATGCGACCAATTTACATACACAACTGGTGCGGAATCTATCCACATTTTTGCAGCACCCTTTAATTTTGCTTGTACTGCAAAAAGAAGTATCTTCTCTTTCCACTCATACACATGTAATAGTTGCTCGACCCGACCGACAAACTGCACCGACGACAACGATTTATCATTCGGATCAAACGATGGCAGGATTTGTATAATGTCATTTACTTTCCCGAAGCCATTAGAAATAAAACGATTGTCCCAATTCCCACTTTGTGGCAAATAACGAGACGGCGCGAACACATCATTCGCATATACGTATGTTGGCATTGTATTGCCCCGTACACCCTGTGAAGACATTGTTGCAAACTCAATGTTCTGATTTTCATTTCGTTCTGTATGCCCCATATGAGCGAACGAATATGTCGTTGAATTTACTCTTTCCCCCGCTGACGTTGACGCTGCCCAAATGGGGTTACTTTCAAAATTTCGCGACGTTGCAACCGATGATTCGGCGAACTGGACATGACGCGGAATCGACGTCGCTGCTTGCGCAGAATTTGAACCTAACGTTGCTCTGCCTTCGTTTATCGGCATAGCTTGCCGCGCAGCATGTACAGGCATGCTTACAGGTTCCCATATTGCCCTGCCCGTCATGATCTCCTGTACACTGCAGTTATCTCCCAAACACCCAACAGGTGTTGGTGAGGATGTACTCAATGGTATAGCACTGACCGCACTTGCCCCAACACGCACCGATTGGAGAGCGTTTTCCAATTGGTTCAACCGCCGTTCTACGCTTTCATTTAGTGCACTTGAAAATCTTTCACTATTCTGGTGTTCATACCACCGCTCGATTAATTTTGCCTTGTTGCCTGACGTGGGCAAACCAGCATCCCGCAACTTTTCACGCAGTTGTACCACATTCAAATTACCGATTCTGTCCATTTTTAGTTTAAGTTACACAATTGTTCTTACGCAGATTTTTACTAACGGATACGCGCACACGTTTTTTTCACGCACTTGGGCTATTTACCCGCTTCTGAAAATTGTCAAGAATCCCGAGTCAATCAAATGTACACTCGTCTTTTTAAAGTTACTGCGTGGTTTTTTATCAACATTCAATATCGAAAAATGTCTTATGTCCAATCGACTGTCCTCGTTCGCGGTTCGCTCACTCGTCTCCTTCTTGTTCGTTTCTCTTGTATGTGTTGTGTGTTATATTCTGTCAGGGTCGCATTATAAAGTATTCAAAGTAATGCTTTACAGAAAAAGGTATTCATCAAAAATATCATTTGACATTATAATCTTATTTAATAAACGGAAATATAGAGCATTGTGCTCCATATATGTATATCAAATTAAAGGTAATCACCCCTATGCTGTAATCCGTCGTATATTCGATTTTGCTACGAATCGTAAAATTTGCATGCTGAAATCCGTGTTGTCGTATCGTAATTTCAAAATTCGTAGGTCATCTTCGAAATTCGTAACGTTGGTATGCCTGAATCCCACATATAGTTGTCATTTTTATGTATTTGTCGGAAATTATGTACGAATAGCAACTCGTGTCGGAGCGAAACAAATTGCATTAAAATATCAATTAAATAAAGTGTGTAAACGCAAAAATATATATTTAAGTTGAAGTGTGAATAGAAAAAAAGTTTATTATTAAATGTTTACAAAATTATCAGGTCGAAGATCACAACAAATCGCTCGCAATACGAAAAACTGGTGGAATGCATTGGCGAAAGGCCGGACATTGCTCGAGGCTTTGTAAAAGAAGCTAAAGAAGATGTGGTGGAATTTTGGGAAAGCGTTGCAAGAGTTAAAGCGGCACAATATCTAGTGAAATGGAGGCCCTTAAAAGGAGGGAGCTTACATTTTATCATTTAAGCTAAATCGATCAGAACAATCTCAAAGCAATCTCTTTTGTATATCAATGCAACAGTTGACTGCAGCATGTTCTTCCTCCAGAGACAAATGTGCACTGGCCACTGAATCCATTATATTTTACTTAATTAAGGAAAAGCCTTTTCAAATGCGATTAAACAATTTTTTTAATTTCACTGTTCTCTTGCGATTATATTTATTTTGATTTGTTTCTGTCAAAGCAGCTGGTAAAGAACTTCGAATTTCACTATTTTATTTGCCAACGCCGTTGATAGTTACGATCGGACTACAGCATACCATCGGAGCTACGAATTCGTAACTACAAACTTTCGGATTACTGCATACGGGTGAATAATTTGTACTTTCTGGCTTGGCCATGTCGTTCGAATGGACAGAAACGCTCCTGCTCTGAAAATATTCAACGCGGGCCGCGATGCTGGTAACAGAGGAAGAGGAAGGCCTCCTCTGCGTTGGAAAGACCAGGTGGGGAAGGGCTTGGCTTCCCTTGGCATTTCCAATTGGCGTCAGTTAGCACAGAAGAGAAATGACTTTCGTGTTATTTTGGACTCGGCCAAAATTGCTTAGGCGGTTACAGCGCCAATAAAGAACAAGAAGACATAATATAAATTTCCTTAGCATTAATTATGCATTTCTCTCAACAAAGGTTTTTTATGAAAAAAAAAAATTATTTTTTTTTCGTTTTTGGTATTTTTTGCTTATGCCTGCTAGAGGTATACGCCGCCGAGACACGCCGCCGCCGCCGCGGTTTTTTGTCATTACTCACGCGCCGCCGCCGAGTTACGAAAATATCGGCGAGGCGGCGGCGGCGTTCGGCGCCTAAGGAATTTTGTACAAAATTTTCATGAAATGCATCGCTTGAAGGAACTACTACTACAGAATATATAAAAAAATTTTTCAATACCATAACAATATTCCTTTTTTACATATTACTACAACAACAAGAAAGTTGACACACAACAAAAAACTTGAACGATAATATCTCAGAAAGAAGTTTTAACAGAAGGGCCCTTATTGCATCTAACTCCTCGATTATTGGAGGTAAAACAAAAACAAATTGATGTTCTTGTGTATTTTTTCTTTAATAAAGAATTTAATATTTTTTAAACAGATTTTAAATAAGTAAGTTATTTTATTCCGGGATCCCACAGATGTATACAAGTTCTAGGTGGCTGTGTGAAAACGTATGTTAGCATTCACAAGTGGTGGGCAAACCCCAGAAAGGTTTTGCTCCATCGCATCGCAATGTTTTCAACACAGGGTTAAAGTTCCCCCTTCTTGGTGGATATTACTAGTATTTTTCATTACTTTCGGTTATCCTTAGGAAAATTTTGCGCTTAATATTTTAGTGGAAATTTTAACCATCTATAAGTCATTTTTTAAATAGTGGGTCAAAAAGGCCTATTCTGCTGGGAGTTGATGGGTAAAACTGTTGGAAAATAGTAGACCACCCTAGTTTTCAATCTATAATCCGCAAAAAATAGTAAGAACCCCGTAATTTAACATAACGGTAGATAAGGTTATTACAGAAATTTATTAATAGCGAAATAAATTACTCCAGTATCTTAACTTTTTAATTTTTTTTATTTTTTTAAATTTATATAGTACATACGGATCTATAGAGAACCATGTATGTATGTATATTTCTTTATTTATTTATTAATTTCAGTCTACAGAACTAGTTTCTTACAGACTAGTTGTTGTTGTTGTTGTAGCGGCTACAAAAAATCCCCCCAGATCGGTTGGTATCTCAGTCGTTGTCGTCGAGTTCCACTAACGGCAGCCCCAAGAAGCGTGCAGCCTCTATGGGGTCGGCCCACAGGGACAGCGCTGTTAGGGTTGTGGGGTTTTTCCGGGCATACGAAGAGATGTTTCGAGTCGTGAGGGGTCTCTCCGCATGCCGGACATTCATTCGGCACATTCGCATTTAGCCTACTCAGGTAAGAGTTCAGAGCGAAGTTGGGCTATTGTTGCTCTTGTCTTCCGAGGCAGATGGAGCTCCGTCGCGTCAATGTCCGGTGTTTGTGTGCCTTGTAATGGCACCGCTAACAATACGGCAGAACTATTCAGCGCCGTCGTAATGTTGGTAGCCCTGTTGGAACATACGTTCCACAGGTACATAAAACCGAGTGAAAAAACGAATGTTAATTCAATTCGATATACGCTTTCTAGCCCTTCGGACACGGAAATTCGTGCTAATTAATTTTTTACTTTTAAAACTAGTAGCAAGTAGTTACCGCGCGGGAAAAATACAATTTTGTGCATAATATTTCTTATTAAAGACAGCCGCAGAGCGAGTATCTCTGTAGGAATCCTCCAGGAAGACGCGTCACAAGGAGGTTCCGGGTAAGCGAGTGGTAGTTTTCCTACGTGCGGGTGAATTGTGCTCAATGAGCGGGCTGAGGGCCCAACATAGCGACCGTGACGGTGAGTGTGACCATGGGGGAATCAATTTTTTGACACCCTGAACGGCAGGCGTGTCCGATGTGCTTCTGTTACGACACAGTGGTGGTGGTGGGGAGCAGGATTTCATTGCGGTAGACAATAACGGGGTGCAGTTCAACGTCACCCGCATAGCGCCGCACAAAAACCCGCGCTGCATTTTTGTCCCGTGCATATTCTCGCATAACGGGGAGCCGTGCCATCACCTACACCAGCAGTACCTCATAAGCCGCATAACGCCATTTAAAACGGCACATAAAACGGCACGGTGTCCGTTCAGCAACTGTACTGGGCACAACAGGAAGTACTGCTGCCAACAACAACGGCAGAACAAGCAAATACATATTTGCATATCGGCACCTGACGCCATTTAGTGAGCGTCCGTTATAAATACATACATATGCGTACGTAACAGTTAAAGAAACCACACCACCAAAGTACAGTCGTGCAAGTCCATCAAGCACACGAATCAACTCGCTATAGCCAATTAACAACAACACCGAAATTATTACAAAGCAGCAGAAGGCATTTTAAAGGCGATGAGACAGCAGCGAGGGATCGTAGCAGCGGGTGGTTCGATTAGATTTAAAAAAATTTAAATATGGGTGTACTCATGTATATTCCTTTTTAACACATTTTTGTAATACCTACCATTTTTTTTGCGACTACGGCACATTAGACCGACACACGCACGTGTGAAAAATTTCGATTTCTTAACTTTATTTTTTTTTTCAAATTCATTTTCAGTACTGAACTCTAATTGAAAGGCTTTAAAGCCACTTTTCGAATTCATTTTCAATATTTAGTTTTAAGTGGTTTGAGGTATTAAACCTATTTTTCAACCTATGCTCAATTTTTTTTAGCTTTAAGTGATTCAAGGCATTAAAGCCATTTTTCAAATTCATTTTTTCATTATTTAGCTATAAGAGGTTCAGGGGATTAAACCCATTTTTTCAACTTCATCATCATTATTTAGATTTAAGCGATTTACGGTATTAAACCCATTTTTCTAACTACATTTTCAATATTTAGCTGTAAGTGACATGAGGGATTCAACCCCTTTTTCAAATTTATTTTTATTATTCAATTATTTAAATAAATATTTCAAGATGTGATTAATACATCTCTTTTTATGCATATTCATAATGCCATCTTGAATTAAATGAGGTAATATACCCAATGGCAAATTTTTCTTTTTTCATAAAATTTTCAATTTTCACGTTTCAAAATTTTTATAACTAAAATGATTAATGTATCCACCTAGGTATAAGTGACTTAATACTGTTTTTGCTAAATTTTTATCGATTCAATTTCCCAATGCTTTTTATTCAAAATACCAAACTTTAATTCAACATACCTACTTTACTACTTTTTACCATATACCGATGTACATGTATAATTGACACGACAATTATTTCATAAATACAAACAATTTTTAAACCAATTTAAAATTTTTGCAATTGCGTGTGAATATAACCCAATATTCCCACTGCATGAAAACGTCCCTATTTTTGCATGCAAATTTTCAGCCGATGACCTACTGAGAAAAACATAAGTATTTTTCACAATTCTATTTCTTTTTGACATTTTAATTT